GTGGATGGAACTAGAGGGTATTATGCTAAGCTAAATAAGTCAATCAGAGAAAGACAAGTATCATTTGATCTCACTGACATGAAGAATTCTTAATCTCAGGAAACAAACTGAGGGTTGCTGGAGTTGTGGGGGGGTGGGAGGGATGGGATGGTTGGGTGGTAGACATTGGGGCGGGTATGTGCTATCGTGAGTGCTAATGAAGGAGGAGAATCGGAGGGGGAGATGAACCATGAGAGACTATGGACTCTGAGAAACAAACTGGGGGTTTTAGAGAGGAAGGAGGGGGGAATGGGTTAGCCCAGTGATGGGTATTAAGGAGGGCATGTATTGCATGGAGCACTGGGTGTTATAGGCAAACAATGAATCATGGAACACTACATTAAAAATAATAATAATAAATTAATTAAAAAAAACTCCAAGCAATCCAAACAAAACAAAACAAAACAAAACAAAAATACAACAAAAAAACATTTAATATTTTTAAAATAACCCTATATGCCCAGGGTTAATTACAAAATCATGAATAAAAATTCCTAGACCAGGTGCCTGAGTGGCTCAGTCAGTTGGGTGTCAGGCTTTGTCTCAGGTCATGATCTCAGGGTTCTGGGATTGAGTCCCGTGTGAGGCTCCCTGTTCAGTGGGTAGCCTGCTTCTCCCTCTGCCTGCCACTCCCTCTGCTTGTGCTCTCTATCTTGCTATCTCTCTCTGTGTGTCAAATAAATAGATATAATTTTATCTATTCCTTGACCTTTTTTTTTAATTTTCAAATACTTTTATTATAAGCATTCATGACTTTTAAAATCATAAAAACATAAAATTTTCTTTAAAAAGGAAAGAAAACTCATGACATAATTTTTGTTAATTAATACAGTTCAAAGATTAAGATATTAAAATAAAAATATTTTCCTCAACAAATCAAACTTTTGCATGAATGATAATGAGACTGTTCTATAGGTTGAAAAAAAAGTATTCAAAGTGAGCATAAGACTTTAACCAATGAGTTAATTTAAAAATTTTGAAAAACAAAAAATTAATTAATAATTATCAAAAAAGATATATTCACTGGGACTCAGTGTGATTATTCAATTGATTAGTTCAGAAAAACAGCTGGAGGGCATGATATTCTGTATTAATGCAGGCAAGTACAAACATATTTTCCTTTGGGATCATCTTTCTAATCAAAAGTTTTCATGTTCTAAAAAATTTTCAGCTGGTATCTTCATTATTTTCCTAACCCTAAAAAACTTAACAATTTAAAAATAAGCCTATATGCTCAAAGAAAATTGCAAAACCACTTATAAAGACCAACAAAATAATTGGTTGCTAAATCAAAAATTTAGAAAATTAAGACATGGAAAATTTCCTCAACTAATCGAACTATTCTATCAATTGACTATAAGAATTACGATGATTAGGTCTCTGCCTTATTCTATTCTTACATGATGGTACTGCCTCCCTGCCACCAACTCAGGTGATGATTTTTAAAGCTGCGTGGAAATATACCACACAGATATTCAACAATGGCTAGCTGGGTCATTATTTATCGATGAGGATAAGCCTAATTTTTGTAATAGGCTGAATCTTATTTAATTTTTCTGAAACAATGCCTGTGGTACCATATATACATATGATTCCTTGTTCCCCACACAAAGTTCCTAAAAACTTTGAAATTTACTGAGTTATAGTAGTGTTTTATTCATTTATTTTCTTTTGTTGTTATTTCTAATGAGCCCCTTTTGCCACTTCTGAGTTCATGTTATTGAGGTGACTCAAGATGGGGCCCATGACAACTTCAGGATGAAGGCTAATCTCCAGAGGAATGATCCACAAGATTAGAGGGTTACAAAATTAGAATTACGTGCACCAATCTATTGTCTCTGGGGACAGAGGGCTGAAAATTTTCCGTCATCAGTGGCCAATAATTAAAACAATAATGCCTATCCACTAAAACTTCCATAAACAACTCCAAAACAAGGAGGCTAAGAGAGTTTCTAGGTTGGTGACCATACAGATATGCTATGAGGGTGGTGCAAGCTGAGATTGAAAGTACTTCTAGCTTAGATATATGATGAGTATTATGATGTATAAAATTAATGTACCTTCTTCACAAGGACCAGGACCTCTACCCCATTCATTCATACTAGATCTAGAGGCTCACAAATGATATTGTT